AGACATACTGTTAAAAAATAGCTAAAGGAATTTCTTCAAACGGAAAGTAAGTGATAAAAGGGCAATCAGAAAGGATGAAAGAACAACAGAAAGAGCAGAAATGTAAGTACATAAAATAGACTATCTTTTAACTCATGAGTTCTATAAATCATATTTGATGATTGAAACAAAAATTATAACACCATTTTGTACTCTATACTATGATATTTAAAAGTGGGCAAGGGAAAGGAAACTAAATGGAAGTAAGGTTTATATACTTCAATCAAAGTGGTAAAATATTGATATCAGTAGACTCTTATGACTCATATATGAATATTGAATACCCAGAGAAACCACTAGGAAAATTCTACAAAGATATGTATTTTAAAACATCAAATAAGTCAAGATGGAATAATAAAAAATGCTCACATAACTGCCAGAAAGGCAAGAAAAGGGAAACAGAAGAATAAGAACTAAAGGAAACAAACAAGAAACTAATAATAAAATAGCAAACAAGAATTAATGTATCAATAATTACATTAAATGATTACATTGGATGTGAATACAACTACAGTAGTCCCCTCTTATCTGTGGTTTTACTTTCTGAGGTTTCAGAAACCCATGGTACAGTACAATAAGGTATTTTGGGAGAAAGAGTGTGAGTGTCTGAACACAATCACATAATTTTTATTCCAGTATATTGGTATAATTGTTCTATTTATTAGTAGTTATTATTGTTAATCTCTTACAGTGCTTAATTTATAAATTAAACTTTATCATAAGTATGTGTGTATAGGAAAAAAAACATAGTATGCATCGGGTTCAGTACCAGGCATCCACTGGGAGTCTTACAATGTATCTACCTGGAATAAGGGGGAACTACTGTATATGCTACTCACAAGAAACTCACATGAAATTTGATGACATAGGAAGATTGCAAGTAAAAATATAGAAAAAGACGTACCATATAAGTATTAATATTTAAAAAATCTGGAGAAGCTTCATTAATATCTGATAAAGTAGACTTCAGAGCAAAGAAAGTTAAAAGAGATAAAGAGAGACATTACCTAATGATAAAAGGATCAACCCAGCAGGAGGATATAATGATCTTTAATGAGTACACACCAAACAACTAAGTCTCAAAATTCATGAACAAAAACTGATCAAGCTAAAACAAGAAAGAGGCAAATCCCCAGTTATAGTTGGGAACTTCAATACCCCCTCTCAGAACTGATAAATCTACTAGACAGAACATCAGTAAATACATGGAAGATCTGAAAAAGACAACCAACTAACAGAATCTAATTGAATATTTTTATGATTTTATATTGATTTATTCATAATGGTTTTAAATTATATCTCTATGTATAGAACACTCCACCCAACAAAAGCAGAACACACTTTTTTAAGGCACCTACAGAACATTCACTGAGATAGATCATGTGCTTGGTCATAAAAAGAAAACTTAAACAAATTTAAAATAATTGAAATCATACAGAGTATATTCTCCGACCACAATGCAATTAAACTAGAAATCAGTAACACAAAAGTTCCAAATACATGGAAATTAAACAACACTCTTTTAAATAATCAATGGATCAGAGAGAAAATCTCAAAATGAATTTAAAAAAATACATAGAACTCAATGAAAATGAAAACACAACGTTTTGAAACATGTACCATGTAACTAAAGCAATTCTGATAGAGAAATTTATAACATGAAATGCTTACATTGGAAATAAAGAAAGGTCTTAAGTCAATAATCTAAATTTCTACATCAAGGATCTATAAAAGAAGACCAAAATAAACCAAAACAAGCGGAAGGAAGGGAATACTAAAGAGCTGAAATCAAAGAACTTGAAATAGAAAAATTATAGAGAAAAATAAATGATAAAAAAATTACTTTTTTGAAAAAAAATCAATAAAACTGGCAAACATCTAGCAAGACTAATAAAAAGAGTTAAGATCCAAATCACTAATATCAGAAATGAAACATGGAATATCACTATAGATCCTGCAGTCATTAAAAAGATAATGAGAGAATATTATGAACAACCTTACATTCATACATTTGACAACTTAGAAGAAAGTGACCAATTTCTCCAAAACAGCAAACCACTAGAACTCATCCAATATGAAATAGATAATCTGAATAGCTCTATAACCATTAAAGAAATTGAATTCATAATTTTAAAAGCTCCTATAATAGAAATCATCAGGCCTAGATAGCTTCAGCAAATAATCCTAGCAAAGATTCAAAGAATAATTAAGATCAATTTTACACATTCTCTTCCAAAAAATAGACGAGGAGGGAACACTTCCATCTCATTTTATGAGGCCAGTATTATCCTGATACCAAAACCAGACAAAAACAGTACAAAAATAGAAAACTACAGGCCAATATCTTTCTCATGAACCTTGACACAAAAATCCTTAGCAAAACACTAGCAAATTGAATCCAACAATGTATGAAAATAATTATACACCATGACCAAATAGGATTTATTTCGGGTTTGAAAGGCTGGTTCAACATTCAAAAAGCATTCAGTGTAATCCACCATATCAACAGACTAAAGAAAAAAAAATGATCATATCAACTAATGCAGATAAAGCATTTGAAAAAAATCCAATACCCATTCATCATTAAAACTCAGCAACTTAGAGGGTGTATTCGTTTCCCAGAGCTGCTGTAACAAATAATTGCCACAAACTGGGTGGCTTAAAGCAAGAGAAATTAATTCTCTCACAGTTCTAGAGGCCAAATGTTTTAAATCAAACTGTTGGTTTCTTCTGAAGTCTCTGAAGGAGAATCCGTGCCATAAGTCTCTCCTAGATGGCTGCTGGCAATTCTCGGTATTCTTTGGACTGTAGATGCATCGTTCCAGTCTCTGCTTATGTCTTCACAGAGCCTTTCCCTTTGTGTGTCTCTGTGTTAAGGCTCCCTCTCAATTTTTTGGTAAGGACAGCAGTCATTGAATTTAGGGTCCACTCTAAATCAATGATGATCTCATCTCAAGATCTTTAATTACATCTTCAAACACCCTATTTCTAAACAAGAATTTACATTCACAGATACTGGATACTGTAATACACAGTATTACATGTAATTTAAAAAATGTAATACACAGATACTGTGAATTACATTCAGTATCTACATACACGGTGTTACATACACAGTATCTGTGTATTACATTCACAGATACTGGAGGTTAGAAATTGGACTTATCTTTTTGGGGGACATGATGCAACCTGCTACAGAGGAGAATTACCTCAACTTGATAAAAACACCTACAAGCAACCTGCAGCTAACATTGTACTTCATGGTGAAAGACTGAACACTTTTACCCTATGATTGGAAACAATGCAAGGATGTCCACTCTCATCTCTCTTATTCAATGTAGTACTGGAAGTTGTAGCCACTGCAATTAGGCAATGAAAAGAAATAAAAGGCATACAAATTGGAAAGGAAGAAATAAAACTCTGTATCCCCAAAAGACTTGAATCTAGATTATATAGAGAACTCTCAAAACTCAATCATTAAAAAACAACAATCCAATTAGAAAATGAGCAAAAGATATAAACAGATATTTTGCTGAAGATGTACAAATGGAAAATAATCCCATCAGAAGATACTTAGCATCAGCATTATCTATTTGAGAAATGCAAATTAAAACCACAATGATTACATTACTTCATACCTGCCACAAGGGCTAAAGTAGAAAACTGTGACAATACCAAATGCTGACAAGGATGCAGGAAAACTGAATCCTTTTTGTTGGGAATGTATAAAGGTACAGTCACTCTGGAAAAGAGTGGGGCTGGTTTTTAAAATAAAATTAAATATGCAACCAGCATATGACCCAGCAATTGCAATCTTGGACATTTGTCCAAGAGAAATAAAAATGTATTTTCATGCAAAATCTATACCTGAATGTTCACTGGAGTTTATCCAATACCCAAAAACTGTACAAAGCCCAGATATCCTTAAATGGGTGAATTGTTAAACAAACTGTATCAGATATATATCATCAGGTACTACTAAGCAATAAAAAAACAACACACTACTGATATACACAGCAACTTGGATGAAATTTTAGATAATTATGCTGAGTGAAAAGAGTCAATTCCAAAAGGTTGCCATGATTCCTTGTATATAACATTTATGAAATGACAGAATTTTTGAAATGAAAGACAGATTAGTGGTTGTCCATGGGGACAGGAATGGGGTGCAGGATGGAGGTGAGTGTGATTATAAAAATGTCAACATGAGAAGTCTTTGTGGTGATGAAACTGTTCAATCTCTTAACTGTGGTGGTAAATCTACACAAATCTACACGTGATAAAATATACAATTAAATGTGCACGTCGACACACACAAGAGTACATGTAAAACTGGAGAAATATGAATAAGGTCGATAGGTTTTATCAATGTCAGTATCCTGGTTGTAATATTATACTATCGTCTTTCAAAATGTTACCATTGGTGGGAACTGGGTAAAGTGTACATGAGATCTGTCTTATTTCCTAGAACTGCATGTGAGTCTACAAATACATAAATAAAAATTTCAATTAAAAATTATTGAGGACCCCTAAAAGAAACTATATGTTTTGCCTGAGATTTACCTGATTTTAAAACTAAAAGCCCCACATTCAAGGAATTCCCTTGGTACTGGGAAAACTGGATCAGTTGTTTTCTATACTGACAGACAGTTTTGGGTCCCTGGACAAGACTTTAAGAACCTGTGTAAGGCTGCCCTTAATACAGAAGAAATTCTCAGTTCAGTGTTATTACCTCACCATCATCTAGAATTTGAGTATCTTCATATGACAATTTGTTAGAAACTCCCCTCCCCCTACCGCAGTGAGCCCCAAGAAAGCTCAGCTTTCCTGCATGGTTTATTCTGCCTTCTCCCCCTCACCTTAGATTCCTCAAATAAGATGTCTTTGTAAGTGTTTTGTGATGAAACAGTGTAATCAGAATGTGAGTATGTACTAATTTTTTTTGATGATTATCTTTTCAGGTCAGGTTAGCGTGGTGCAGGTGACCATCCCACACAGTTTCGTGAATGTGACTGTTGGATCTAATGTCACTCTTGTCTGCATCTACACCACCACTGTGGCCTCCCGAAACCATCTTTCCATCCAGTGGTCTTTCTACCATAAGAAGGAGATGGAGCCAACTTCCGTAAGGACACTTTTCCTAAACCTTTCCCCTTTTGTAGTTCTGACTGAAAACTGTTGGGGCCAAAAGAATGCGAAATGTGCAAGAATGGTATGCCAGGGACAGCAGTGGCAGGAATCTCAGATACAAAAAGTTTGAAGAGAGCTGTATAGGGAAGATCATCATCTAAGTGACTTGACTCTTGTCTTCTCTTCATATTTAGTTATAATCCATTATCTCTGGTCTGTGTAGATCAACATCAAGTGTATCATGTATTTTAGAGAGGACAGGAATGGTCCTTCTCATAGGTGAAATGAGCAGTAATTCTGATAGGGCTCCCCCTCCACCTTTATCTCCCATTATTTCCAGAAGAACTTATTCAAATACAAGCCCTGATTGATCTGAAGATCTCTGCCAAATTTAATATCTAGGATCTGGCTGTCAAGTGAGCTAGCTCACCGAGCTAGACTGAGGCATGACAGTTTGAGACTTCCTAGATGGGTGAAGAAGGGCCATAGTAGTGATGAACCCTGGGTAATCAAGAGCAGCCTGAGGATAGAGGACAGAGGATGGAGTGGGTAGGTATAGGGTGTGGGGGAAGAGGTTGCCAGGAAAGGATGGGGTGAAAGTCAAGAGAGGAGAATGATTTCAACATGCAAGCTGCCTATTCCTAGGTTTCCTTCATCAGGCCTTGAGGGAAATTCCTTCTTTAGCCCAAGGATTAAAATTGTATACTCAAAAGGGTGTGTGTGTGTGTGTGTGTGTGCGCGCACGTGTGCATGTGTGTGTTTGTGTGTTCATGTACATGTGTATGTGAGCACATATACCATGCATGTCTACACATATTCCTTGAGGGAACAGGTCTGTGGTTTTCATCAGGTTCTCAAAAGGATGCATGACCCCAAACAGAGTTTAGAGAAGAGACAAGTCAGTGTGGTTTGAAATAGTTGGATGCAACTGAATTGGGCCTTGAAGGAAAGGAAAGGTTTTGATTAGTAGAAAGATAGAAGGAGAACAAGTTGAGGGGTTGGGGGAAGCCTAGGGGTCAGAGTGGAGAAGAAGGAAGGCATTAATTTAGAGGAGCCACATGTTGGCCAGTGTCACTTTAGCCATTACAAGTCCTTCAGAGGTGCTGAGTCCTCTGTTTACAAATCCTGAGTGTTTAGCAGAAAACACTGTATAGGGAAAGATTCCATCAATGCCACTCTCTAGTCCAAGTTAAACCATTTTGCGCAATACTGGTTACCTTGGACGAGTATCTATATCACGCTGTTCCTCTCTTTAAAATATGGTAGATCAGGAATACCCATGGGGAATCAACTGACACAATGCATGTGAACAATATAAAGCGCTATAAGTTGTATCCCTTGTAAAGACTATTATGATTATCATCCACAGCAGCACCACCACCAACAGTGCTCCTACCAGTTTCCATCATCCAAAATGTCCAAACCCAAGACCTTGCGTGTTGCAGTCAACTAAGAAATTCTTGCCTTCTTTTGCAGGCTGATAATCACATGTCCTTTCTTCCTTTTTAAAATTCAATTTCCTGGCTAGTCTTTTCAACACATTGTTTATCTGCAGGCTTCAAATCCATCTTATTTTGCCAGGAGAGGCTGGATTTAGAGAGACCTTGCCAATGTATTTTGAAGTGTTTTCTGCTTGATACTCAAATCAAGATGTTCTTAACTGCCTGAAGGCTGGGCAAGGCCAGTCTCAGTTCAAAACCACACATTTTTATTTATGCCTCCTCTGACACTGGAATTTGCAATGCTACCTCTTGGTTGAACTATGTATCTAATGAGGAACTGGGAGGGAGCTGCACAGCCAAAGGATCTTGTGACCAGCAATGAGCTTTTTCTATATGGGAAAGGCAAGGGAAAAAGATATGGTGATTGAATTGAGCCCAGAATGTTTCTTAGAAGCACCTTTAAAAAAAACCTGTTAACAAATATTTATTGAGTATCTTATTTACTTGCCATTTGCTTCATTCTTCAAAACGTCAGGTACAGGTAGGGCAAGTAATTTAAGATATATACTTTTTTGGAATGTCCACATCAAAAGATGGCCTCTGCACTGAGCTGCTAGATCTGGCAAAACATGCTCTCTGATCTTAAAGCTGCATGATACCTGTGTTACGCCTGTGTCTTAGCCACATGGAAGACAAGCTTTTGTGTTTTTATTGCTCCCACAGCTTGGGAACAATAACAACCATCCCCTAAAAAGGCAAATTTTATCCTCCTTCTATTTTCCCATCTTGCTTTAGCATACCCTAGCCAGATCCCCATTACAACCATCTTTAGCTCTCTACTTCTAGAGAACTGGAGTCCTTCCCCTGTCTCCTCATATCCTGCTTGCATGGGCTTCTCACTGCTTTGCCGGATGAGTAGTTTTGAAGCCCTAGTGAAAACCACCTGATGAATGTCAGTTCTTCTTCTTGCTGTGCCACTTAGCTATTGACTGGGTGATCGTAGACAAGTCATTTGACCTTTCAGTTCTTCAGTTTCCCATCTTTAAAATGGGGCTACTTACCTATCTCATAGGTTTAATATGAAGATAAAATGAGATAATGCTTGTGAAGCACTAGGAAATCTTCTACCCAGTAAGCATTCAGTGAATGCGAGCTTTTATTTTTGGCATCATCACTTACAAAATGGTGATTTTGCAAAATACCTGTTCCCACCATACCCCTGGTGATCTAAAGGGACTGAGTCATGGGCACCAGGGAACCTAGCTCAAGAGGTTACACTTGAACAGGGACAGGGCTCTTCAGGGCCATCTTAGCCCAAGATCAGCTTCCAGTTCCACTGCTCACCAGGTCCATGTGGCTAAAGGCAGGGCCCAGGCCCATTCTCCACCTTCTTCTTATGCCTGAACTGAGAGCCTGCTCAATCAAGAGGTTGCAAACATCCTGTGTGGAGGTGGTATTTTTCAAAATGGGATTTGGCCTCCATTTCAAGGCTGTTTCTTCTTTGAGCGCATTCAAAATTCTGCAGAGCGTGTTGTGTGTTAATCTAGGGATTGCTGGTGGGACATTTATAGGAGGATAAAAAGATTGTTGCACTATTAGATGATTCTGTGATTTATGGGACTAAAATGTTGCCAGGCATCAGTGGTCACACAGCGATTCAGTTCAACTCCTGGGTTGATGTGGCAGTATACTATATAGCATTCAGCTCTCAGATCCACCCATTTCTGCTCAAACACAGCACAGCTCGTGCCTCAGTACTGAGGGTATGGAGGAAAAGGCAGTCAGTCAGTGTCTAAAAATGACGCATGCAAGAGACGCTCGGGGAAGATGTAGCTGGACCTCTCAGGTAAGAGCGCTTATTGGTGTACTACTGGACTTCTTCATTGTTCAGAGACTCCAGGGCACTGGCACCAGCTTTAGGAATGGGATGGGAGGGTCTGACTTTGGTAACAATCTAGGTCAGCACAAGCCCCTGACAAAACTGGGACAGTCTTGAGTTTACCTTGAGTTCTTCTGCCTCTTCCTAAAGACTCAGGACCCTATTGCTGCTCTGATAAGGGGAGTGGCCAACTCTTTCCATAGTCCCATAGTCTCTTTCCTGAAATAATTGTGTTAGATTTGCAACTGACTCTGAGGCCTGGTGTTCCTAAATACCCAGGGGCTAATGTTGTCTCTTACTGACTATCCCCTCTGGCGAATAGGCACTGAAGTATCCCACAAGTCTTCCCACAAAGAAGGCCAGGATATTCATCAGCATGGTCCTTCTCTCAGAGAAACACTTCTCTCAGAAAATATGAACAGCTTTAGATAGTCAATCCCTTAACAGGGAATCTCAGCTGAAAAATCTAGGGGAGGTATGAGCAGACTAACATGGAAATTTGGGGTGGTCTGGTGGTCTGGTACCTTTCAGGTCACACAGATGGCCTCATCTTCCATACAGCCTGTTAATGCTAAAACCACAGAGACCTTACCTGTCCATGAACAGAGCATGCATTGATTCTGCTTAGCATGAATCTCTCAGACAATACTTATTCTTCACAAATGTTCATAGTGAAGAACACCCTTTGCCAGACTCATAAACCACTTGGACTACTTCTTTCCAAGGACCTAGTGTTCTTATGTTCTCTGGCTTCTCAGATTTTACAACCTGGCCTGTTCTCTCCAGGTAGTATTGTATTAAATGCTTTTTGAATGTCAGTAGGGGAGGTGTTCCATCTCCTCAGGGATATTTGAAAATGGAGGAGGTGTTGGTTTGATTCTTATGACCGGGAGTCATTAATGACATTAGTGGGTGGTGGCTATGTCCTGAAATACATATGTCCTGAAATGCAGATGCTGAATGTCCTGAATACATAGGACAGAGCCACACAACAAAGAGTTGTCTGCCCAAAATGCCAATGTCACCCCTACTGAGAAATACTTCAAGTTCTTCCCACTCCACCATCAAATGTATGTATTGTGTCCCATTCACTTTCTGCTAAGTCTAATAAATTAATCTAATGATAAGGTGTTAGGGACTAATGATAGCGTATTTTGTTCTCTTCTAAAGAACATATTGAATCAGGGACCTTCCATGCCTTCTTCCAAAAGAAGCAACTCAAATGGTAGATATTCAGGCAAATGGAAGGTTGGAAAGACAGTGGTTTGGAAGCAAGAGAGTCTTTCTTTTGGTATCCTATTTCTTCCATGTGCTATCCTGCCCCTGAATATAGTCCAAAGAAAATTCTGAGCTTGTGGCCATTGCCACCTTATACCTACACACCCCTCCCTTACTCCATGTCTGGACCCTCTATCAAAAGTACAAGAAAGTAAGAAGCTGGAAAGGAAAGAATGCGTGGTTGCTGTGGACATCCATGCCCTCCACATTCCCCGAAGGAACCTGCAAAAGCAGCTCTGGGAGCTAACTCAGACTCAAACAGAAAGCAGACTGAATTCCTTCAACCCTTCTTGTTTATATTCTGTGCTTCTAGTTAGAGAGCAGTGTCACTAAGCTGAGGAAAAAGTCTTTTAGGACAAATCTGGTTCCCAGCTGCACGGCCTTGTGTGAATAGGAACTTGGCACAGTAGGACAGGAAAGGCTGCTCTGCAAAGAACTGAGGGGCCTGCAATTGCAGCTGGCAAATGTTGAGGGCATCATGTGGTGAACACACTCAGCATGGGAAGCATCATGCCAGTAAATAGCAGCAATTGGCAGGAGAAACGTTGGGCTGGAGCAGGGAATGGAATGGCCCCAAAAGGGGAAGGTTGCCCAGGAATCATCTTTTTCGTCTTAAGAAGGACTATGAGTACCATCGTAATATATTCAGTGGGAATCAGGAGGTCTGGATTCCAGGTCTGACTGTAAATTGTGTGACCTTGGGAAAATTGCTCCCTCTTTTGAGGCCTTGGTGCCCTTTTTGTATTAGAAGAGGATGAATTTGAGTTTGCTGACCGGAGGCCTCTGGGTCAGATTCAGCCAATGGATGTATTTCAGTCAGTCTGCCCAGTATTTTGCTTGTTTGTCTCAACATTTTTAATGCCTTGTTTGCATTGACTTTTCAGTTCCCTGCAGTCCCCATATCTGTTATGATCTTACCACCAGCCCCTCCCAGCCATTTCCCATATTTCCAATATCTATCGAGCTCCTGAAGGTCCCTTAACCTTAGAAACCACAAACCAAGCTCTCTCACAAGGATCTTGTAATTGATGTACAACTGTGACTGTATCCATCAGCCTCTAGCGTCACCCAGGGGGCAGGAAGAGAGGACCTTGAGAGAAAGCAGCGCAGTCTCCCATAAACCCAAGTGCAAAGTGCAAGTGAATAAAAAATTAGCAAGCACCCCTGATGGAAACACTGGGATGGATTTTCTTAAAAAATTACCTCCTCCCCTCCCCCACCCAAAGATGTGGCCTATTGAACATCCGGGGCTTTTTCTGGACTTCCATTGCGTTGATGTCTAAATTGATAATATTCTTTCTTTTAAAAGCACACAAGCCGCACAGAATCATAGGCCTGGCCTTGGCCACCGTTCAGCTTTGATTTTTAAAAGGGTTATTCTTTTATGAAAAATGGAATCAAGTTGTAGTCCTTCCTATATGATTAGATAAGAAGTTTCAGGAAAACACTTCTTTTTTTTCTTTACAAGGGCAGTGTGACTGTGTGGAATTCCCCCTAACAGAAAGCCCCTCCATGTATGTGTCTGGCTGCTATCTAGCCCCAGGCGCTTTCCTTCTCACACAGAACTGTGAAGCCAAAGCCTTGCCTCTTTTAGGTCTCCATTCTTAGCCCTCACTGCCCACATTTCTGTCTCTAATACCTTTTAGTGTCAATCGTGAGAAGGCAAAATGTATTAGACTACAGCCTGACGAGCTAGCATAGAAGAGGCAGTAAAGGTCTTTTTCATAGGTAAAGGTCCAGGGCCTCATTGCTTATATGCTTATTTGACCTTGACTTATATCCAACTGTGGAACTTTTACAGTGGCTTCTTTTCATATCCTAATTCTGGCCTAAAACACACTGTTTTGGCCTCATGATCTCTACAGAAATAAGGTCCTTTTCACCTGGCTCCTCTGGGACTTGCTGTGGGCCTCAGGCAGGACTGATGTTGTATCTCATTGTGATGTCATCAAGCATCAGCATAAAACAGGGCTGATGTTTTACACTGTCCACAGTCTTCTTGGGAGGAGGGGACGTGGCCAGATGTTGAGGCTGTAAAAGGCTCTTTTGATGGACAACAGACTAAACTCCAGGTAAGAAAAATACAGGACCTCAAACTGTCAATTAGAAAGTAAATAAGCCCATGCTACCTCGTGAAATTGAAAGCCTAATAGTGTGAGTGTCAACTCAAATGACAGTAATCCTCTGATGAGTTGAACCTCTTTCTGTCCCACTTGTATACCTTGACTTAATTCTGGCTTTCTGGTTTGGAAGCCAAACAAGACCATTCTGGGGCAAGAGTTTGTGATTTCAGTAGGTGTGAATGAATGAATTATAAATGGCTGCATTTGTAATGTAGGCAAGGAAGCACATTCATGTTAGAAAAAGCTGGGGAGAGAAACAGTTTTCTCTGTAAATGTTCTCTTTTCCTGGGATTTTCCCTCAAAATCCAACTTTCTGCCTTACTTTTAAAATATATTGACTTTCTGCTTAAAGGAGAATACATTTGAATTCATCAATGCAATATCATCTGGTTTTCTAATTGCTTTCCCTCTTTTATTGCCCTATCAAGGTAGAGCTCACAGTACAAGGAATTAGGAAAATTGGATTCCAAATCTGTCTCAACTGTCAATTTTGTATCTTTTATTTTTTTATTTAATTAATTAATTAATTTTCCCTCTGTCAACCGCCGCTGTGCCAGCTCCTGCATCATGTCTTTTATTTTTTAACCTCTCTGGGCTTTGGTTTCTAAAGTGAGGGAAGATAATTAAATGAACTGTAAGGGCTTCCAGTAGATTTTATGAAAACATTAGTCTCGCCAGACTAGGACAATATAATTTATTGAACAATAACAGTCACTTGAGTAACATACAATTACGTGAAACTAACAAAGTGTATACATAGAAGGTGTGTATTATGAAGGGACCTCAGGAATTACCTAGTCCAGTGATTCCCTAGCTTCAATCATTCATGTAGCATCTCCCTGATTTTTGTTATATTTGTGTGTCACCAGCACTATTTATTATTTAATGTTATTTTCTGTATTGACTTGGTTTCTTAATATCTTAAAAAATATCTACCTTAATCTACCCTAAGCAACAATATTCAGGAAGTCATAAATTTAAGGTGTTAGATATTTATCTTTCTAATACACATGCAAATTTGTAAGTTTTCATTTATGTACTACCTAAAATCAACTTAAATACCTATACTTGGTAAATACATATCATACTTTGGAAGACATTACTCTGTTTTCTCATTCAGATGTGGAAAGTAAAGGCTGGAGAGATTAAATACCTTTGTTTCTTATCTAAAACCAGGTTGCCATGGAGGCATGACTAGAGGCCACCTCCCCTAACTATGTCACAGTGAGAGGCAGAGCTGTGGCTAACTCAGGCCACCTGACCCCTACACCATAAATAGATCATAATGGCAACTGTGGGAGCAGCATGAAATTCACCACATCATGCTGCTCCCACAGTTGCCATTATGATCTAACTATGCTTTCTAATAGAGATAGGACTAGAATCCAGATCTTAAGTTTTATAAGTTATAATAATAATAAATGAGTCCTTGTGGCTTAGATGGGTCATTTAATCTCTCTGGGTCTGAGTTGCCTTATTTGTTTAAATGACAGAAGAATTCCAGTTCTGCCTCCTGCCACATGGGGAGAAAGATGGTAGCTATCAATGGCTGAGCACTTCTGAGGTCCTTTACTAGATTTCGTGGTTTCATCCTCACAACACCTCTTTAAAGGGATGGGACCAGATGATTTCTAAGACACTTTTCTGCTTTGCTTCTAATAAACAAAACAAACCCAAGTTTGCCTATCCAAAAGAGTAGATGTGTCTGAAAGGAGCATGAACATTTGAACATTTAAGGAAACCAAATAGTCTCACTGGGTAAGGTAAATTAAAAATTTTAAAAGTTTACGAAACGTAAAAAAAAAAAAAAAATGATGGTTTTGGTTTCCCATCAGACATTTGTGTTCTATATAATGAGTTTCTCTCAGGTATAGCCATTAAGTGAGCATCTTGATATCCTAGCCCAAGCTTAGGTGTTGAATCCTGTCAGCTCCAGCTGCCTCCTCCTCTGTAAGATAGGCATACTAATCTCTGCCCTGATGACATCACAGAGCTGCTCTGAGGATCAAATGCACAGCTGTGAGCAAACTAAAGTGCCCCACAGAGTTGAGAAATCTTGGCCACAGGGACCTAGTGGGGGGAAGATGCTGCTTCTTTATCAAAGGTAATGTGTTTAGAAGAAGCTTTCAGGTAGCTTATCCCAGTCTTGGACACTCTCCAGTTCTCATTTCTGTTATTTTTCTGTCTAGATTTACTTTTCTCAAGGTGGACAAGCTGTTGACATCGGGCAATTTAAAGATCGAATTATAGGGTCCAACGATCCAGGTAACGCATCTATCACTATCTCACATATACAGCCAGCAGACAGTGGAATTTACATCTGCGATGTTAACAACCCTCCAGACTTTTTCGGCCAAAACCAAGGTGTCCTCAACGTCACTGTGTTAGGTATGAGCATTTTTTTCTGCCTTTTCTTTTCTTGGAACAAGTTAAGACACTGAGTGAACCAGGGCAGTGAATTATGATGCCAATTAAGTCTCTGTAGGTAAATATACTCCCTAATCCTTTCATTATCAGGGAAATAGAGACAAGACACCAGCCCAACCCATATAGTAACACTGGAAACTCACTCATCAAACATGCAGAAACAATTGTGCAAAAGGGCTGCAAAAATGACAGCAGTAGATGACCCAACCTCCAGGGATCTCTATCTCTGAGGAATGGAACGAGAATAGATGGGACAACCCACTGTCCCACAAAATGATCACTAGCAACTCTTTCAGAGGAAACCTCCATTTAAAGCCAGAGCTACCTGGGAGAGAATACTGTCAACTTATTCCTTTTAGGCAGGAGAGTGCCTTTTAAAAATGCTAATACTATTTGGAAAAAGGACTACACATTAATCTAGTGTAGAGAATCAAGGTATCTACATACAAATATTCATTATAGGATATTGAACAAGCCATATCTGCTCTTAAAATGAATTTAGGGTCTCAATTGTTCAGTATTTATTGAGTTACAGTGATGGAGGTGTTGTTTTTGCCCTTGGAGAGCTTCCAGTTTTGGCCATTTCTAGAAGTCCTTCCATCCTCTGTCTGAGAGGACAATGAGGGCTAAGCTCCCATCTGCAGTCTAGGATCGGGAAGTATCAAAGCAAGGGATGAAAGGGCTGCCAATCCTCAACTCTTACAGACAGACCAGTGGAGACGAGCATTTTCCCACTTCTAGTTAGCCCCAAATGGAGCTGACCTAGTCATTGCTCCTCTCAAGCTGTGTGCATATATCACAAGAAAGGAGGAACTAGATTGTGCAACTCATTCCCGGTTTTTGCAGTAATTTAGTTCAAGTCCTGGTGTCCAGCTTTGTGATGAAACACCCCCATTTAATTTTCTGTTCAAATTTTTCTATTCTGCTGTAAAGGCTATAAAATAGCCATCCTTTTTAAAAGGTGGTATCTAAATCTAGTGATAGCTCCAATGGACTTCTGGCTAAATAGCTTAGTTTAGGATAGGCAAATCCAACAAGTTATTCCTACCTGAGAAAATCCTTGGTAAGAAAGAGAGAATAAAGGACTAAGTAGAAGGATACTTCATTTAATTAAAAGACACTTTTTTAAAAAAAAAAAAAGATAGGGCTAGTGAAATGTTTCAGAATTATAGCTATATGCATCCATCTTCTTGTACCTGTGTACAGATAATGAGAGCCTGGGATGGCTGAGCTGAGCAGAAGTCAATGGGAGATTAGTAGCAGGAATTAGACCTGCTGTGGCCAACAGAAATTCCAGGTGCTAGGCCCTATTATGTTATTGTATTTAATCTTTGGACCAGCCAGAGGTTAGATAATCTCCTAGTCACATTTTACAGATGAGTCAACTGAGGTTTGGCTAAGTTTGGTAACTTGCCTACACAGATCCAGGGTAGAGTTACAGAGCCAGTATTCTGTGTGGACACAGAGCTGTTCCCCTAAACACTGTTTCTCAGGTAAGAGCTGCAGGGTTGAACAGTATGACACATTTCATATCCAACTCATCTAAATTAGAGAACCTAAGCCTTTGAAGGGTTCTAGAGCCAAATGAAGATAAGGATGGTGAGTTGGAAAGTATAGAAATTTATACCATTATCTGTATATAAGATAGATATATAAGGTGTATAAGATAGATATATAGTTATAAAATAAATATCTAAGATAGATAAGAGATATAAGATAAATATGTAGATATTATATATAAGATAAATGCATAAGATACATAAGATAGAATAAACTGTGCAAAGCAAGATGAATGAGGAGATTCAGATTCCCAGCTTCCCACAGGACTTCTCCCCTGATGTGTTTTCATGAGCAGCTAAAACTCTATGTCCCAAACTGACCTCATTAGTACCCCTTGCTCCTTGTCATCTCTTCTCCTAAAACCTGCTCCTCCTGCTGTGGTCTTGGAGGCCTCTTACCCTCTCTAAAGTCATCTGTCGTCCCTCTCCCACACCACTTTACAACTGTGTCAAAGTTGCTTTTGAATTCCTGGTGCCTAGTTCCATGCCAGACCCACAGAAGGCATGGTTTCTTGCTGAGTGAAGGATGAACAAAGATTTCAGTGCTGGGTAGTGTGCATCCCCAAAATGGGCTTCCCCTACTGACGATGCACACAGGCAAATTCAAACTTTTCAACTGTTTTGTGTCACCCACAGATGAATAAATGCAAAAAAGGAAAGACTCATAAGAGAAAAGAGAAATACAGCATTAACAAAATGTTTTTAAAATAATAAATAATAGGTTATTTCAGAGTATTTAAGGAATCTATTTTTCTTTAAAACTATGCTTTTAAAGTATAAACTATGCTCCTGGTCGTTCAGTATTTGCTTATATTTAGCTGTTTTAAAAAAGGCATATTTTAAGACATAATGCGGAAGTTCATGGTTATAAATCTCTGGAGGAGGCAGAGGAGTCACTATTTGAATCTTGATGATCTGTTGACTACAAGTGCCCTGCACCTGAAGTGAAGTGCTCTACTGTCACCTGGTGGTG